CTAAAACTTTTGGAGTCAGAAAACACAAAAATATACACCTAGAGTTTTACCCTCATTTGTAGAAATAATAGAAGCACGTACTATCTCAGAAGAAAGTGAGTGTTTTCTTTATATAATGTCATTTTCCTGCTGTTGTGTATATGCAGCTGAGTGGGAGATAAGATGGACTGACAAATAATCTCACCTACTACATATACTATTCAAATAATATGATAACCAAGAATTTGGAATAGTCCTCTCTAACTTCTGCTGTATCTGCTTGAATTAAGTAGTCATCAATTCAGAGGTGAGCAGCAAGAAGACTGGTATCAGCTTTAACAGGACCAAAGCAGCCATTGGTGTCTGCAGTTCGGTAGCATCTTGAGACCAGTAGCAAGAATAGCAAGGTGCGATGTAATGTGGACAGTGGCACTTACTGAAACTTGTGCTTTATAAATAAATCCTCACCCAAGGACATTTTTCTATTTATCTCCAGATAGAGTGAGAGGGAGAGGGAGAAACAACAATGTAAGAGAGACATATCGACCTGTTGCCTCCTGCACGACCCCGACCAGGGTGGGGGATGAACCACAACCCGAGGTATGTGCCCTTGACCGGAATCGAACCTGCAACTGCTTGGTCCGCAGGGCAACACTCTAACCACTGAGCAGCAAAACTGGCTAGGGTGAAACTTGTGCTTTTAACACAACTATTTAAATATCAACAAATTCAGGAGACATATAATAGGAGAGGATATAATGCATGAATGCAGGTTCATTAAACTAATGCATTTTTTTGAAAAACAAATTATGACAGAATATTTCATTATTGACGCAGATACGAGAAAAAGTGTTATGCTGCTATTTATAATGTGTCTTGTGTGTCATGAAATTAAAATATTTCCAAATCATCAATAATTAAAATGATTAGAATCCATCATTTCACTGACATTTACTTCTACATGAAAAGGAGCCTATTTTACATGTGCTCACACATATTCTTGTCAATCACAAGCTGTCACAGCAAATTATTTCATTTTGTAGATCACATGACAGAAGAAAATCTCTAGGTTTAAATTTAGATCTAGGGGTAATATCAAGAACTCTCTTGATGGATTTTTTTTTCTGTGACTACATCTTCACAATGCAGTATGTAAAAGATGTAAAATCTTATTCATAATACTCAGTTACATTTCTGGTTAACAAAACTCAAGACTTAAATGAATCACTGTAAATGATAACTCTAAAAGCCAAATGGTAGGATAGGACCAGAGAAGAAAGAATGAAAATATAAAACTAAAAAAAAAAAAAAAAGACAGAGTTCCATACATTGGAAATTAGACCTAATGAATTTGGCCCAAACAGGTCTTTCTCCTCATCTTCTTTAAGACATTTAAGCAACTTCAGGGCATGAACCACTTCTTATGCTAGGTTTGCTTTGCCTAGCAGTTATAAAGGAGCTGAACTCTTACAAACTCCATGAATCTGATGCAGGAATTTTCACTGTGCACCATTAAGCAGAAGATTTAGGAAACTGAATACCTAAACTGCATGTCCATAAATCTGAAAACTTTTAAATGCCTTTCAAACAATTCATTAACTGCATCTTCATAATTCTAGCAGAATCATTAATAAATTTTCAAATCTCCAAATGCCAGAATTATAAGACCTAACAGGACAGTTGATTATCATCAACATTCTTTATAAAAATATTTCTATTTTTCTCCATACACAATTAATCTTTCTGCTTAAGTATTCAACTTCAAAATGCAAGAATTATTCTAATATTGCATTTCAACAGAGAATGCCTCATGTCAGTTTTGACCTTGGCCTGACCTCTATATAAAAGCTTTGTGTTTTGAGGTATGTGATGAATAGCTCTGTGGCTTTCTATTAAATCCAGTGCTACTGGTTGTCAACAGTGATGCTCAGAAGGGGTAGTAAAGTAGTTTAAAAATCAGCATTGTTCTCTAAATTAGTTAATTAAATATTACATCTAGAAAAAAAATCAGAGATGTTCTGTACATATTTTTCTACCATAGCAAATCTGGAAATAGTTATAGTAACTATAGGAAGGCAATTTTTACTATCTATACTGCTTTACCAAATAATAAGAAAACAATGAAGCATGCAAATATAATTAGCAAAACATACACTGGCTTATTTGGCCTTCTTGTGCAAGAAATGAAGTAAATTTTCCTTTGAAGGACCCATTTGATTTACATTGTTGAACAATGTTCTCAGTTTTTAAGGATTTATAACTTATTTACCCAGTTTATGGTCCTTAAAGACCAGGACTTCTGTCCCTGTGCCAGGACTACCCATACAGTAGATACTGAATAAATATTTATTGGCTTAAATTTAGATTAAATTGAATTTTAAATTGGAGCTAAAAGAATAATGATAGGAAATAAATTAGATTATGAGCCCTTTTTTTCACCTGTCTCTGATATATCCTAGTACCTGGCACACAGTATGCTCTCAATGAATGTTTACTGAATGAAAATCAGTGTATAGAAATAATGACCATTTGCTGACCCTAATGCTTGTTGGTTAATTACATATAAAATGTTCATGCTCAATTAGAAAGATAATAGTAACACCTAATTCAGCCAACTGTTTTACCCCTATTTACCTTTAGAATGTTTGATTTTCCAACTTCTGAGAATGGCCCCTTACCCTAAATTTATCTACCACCTTCAAAGCTATTCAGGCATGTTATATTTTTATGGTACATTCAGGACAACAAGCTGGCAAATTATTGATTTCTATACAAGACAAATGCAAGAAAGGTAGTTTTAACTTAATTTGAGAACGTGTATGTGACATATATATGTCATACATACATATACATGAAATCTTCCTGCATCCCTCTCAAATTATCTAAATCAAGTTATACACATACATTATCATACATGTATATACACATATGTATAATATTTATTTATATTTATATTCTTAATGTTCTGAAAGAAATCAAATACAGGTCTTCAAGCTTATCTACGAGCTTAACTTAGATGAGTGGCTTTTCCCCCATTATACTTAGCCTAAGTCTTTTTAATGGACATGAGATATGCTAGTCTGTGTCCAAGCTCACCTACAATTTCTTTTCTCAAAAGACAAGGCACATCTGCCACCTGCTCTACTCCGTGTCCCAGCAACAACTGTCGAGCAGCATAAAGATTGATTATCAGTCAAAAACCATTGCACAACACCAGATTTTGGTGGGTTAAGCTTGCTGATCCAGCAAGAGATGGTGTGAAATTTTCAGGAGTGTGTGCCAACATTTTGGTGCTAAAAGAACAGCAGTGCATGTCACAGTGAAACACAGCCAAAGATATGCAGACAAAGCAGAGAAGTTTTTGTTCGGGACTTGGCTTTCAAAAGGATAAAAGAGAAAACAAAAAGTAGGAGGAAATTAGTTTGTACATTGAAAAATCATCCACCAAGCTTAGTCATGTGTGTAACATTGGTATTTTAGGCATACATGTCCAGGAAATTTTCGAGGAAGCTTAGCTGTAAATAATCTTTATATATATCTTCCATAATACCATTATCATGCGAAAGGCAAGTATTTCTTATTAATAAAAATAAATCAAGGATCTTAACAAAGCACTAATTATATAAATATCTGAATATTTTTAAAAAACACTCAGAAATATTTACCCACAAAAACACATGCTTACATGCAAGCAGATGATTAATGAATACAAAATAAAAGCAGCCATATTTAAAGTTAAAGCAAAATTTGAAAATTATATGGGTCTACTCTATTGTATAGGTAATTTTTACTGAGTATTACAGCAACAAGTTTCTTTCCAAGGACCAAATTACCTTGAATTTCTATTGAATTCAATAAATTATTTCCTGACGATCAAGCATTATGAAAGAGATAGAAATCTTAGTATTATTTTATATAATAACATTAATAGAGAAAGAATTTTCATCACCTCATCTGTAATGAACTCCAGAATTACTTTTCTTCTACTTATGCAATTACTGCCTAGACTTGCCTTTGGTTCACCAGATTTATAGCAGTTGCAGGAAAAAAATACTTCTAATAAGGTATAAAAAGCATAAGGGAGTACAGCAATTAGGAACACTAAATTTGTATGGCAAAGTTGTGTCATTTAAATGTGATTACCATATATAGGACTGATAACAAGACTCTGGATATGACATGCTTGGAAGAATATTCTTAGATAGCAGTACTTTTATTTATCCCTTAAAATGTATTCTTTACCACTAAAGAAAGAAAAATGTTTTCTATTTTAGAAAATTTAAATGCACTTTTAAAAAAGAGATCTTACCTGCAAATATCTCTAAAATATGTTTATATTTCATATATAATTTATATTATTATCATTTTTATTATGCATATAAGTAAATATACATGTCAAGGTTAAAAAAAAAAGTCAAGCTGTAGCATTTACCTTATGAAAAATTTTATTAGAAAAATTACATGTATATAAAAATTATGTGTTCATTTCTGGCCACATTTTTATAATTATGTTAATGCCATCTGAAAAAAGACCAAGAGTGTGAAAGAATAAATGATACTTGAAACTTTGAACTATTTTCTGAGACAGTAAGTCTAATGAATTATGTCTGTTGGGTGTCACAGAAACTAAACAGTAAATTCAATAATCTCTGATTTAATTTATTATATTTTCACCATTTAACCTCCTGCAGGCTCCCTAATGTCTATTCAGATCTATATTAAATTAAGCACCAATGCTAATGAAGGGCAATAAACGTGGCTGTCAGTGGATTTTTCTTTCATTAACCACATTATCCTCTTACTGAGCTGTAAATGCGTAAACATTAGTTTTGTTAAACCATGCAAAAAAGACAGGATGAAGATCATTTTTTAATTGCATCCCTCAAGCAATTTACTGTATGTGGGGGTAGAATTTTTTTTTCTTTTTTTACCTTTAATTTTTTTGAATGGATCTGAAAAGGGCTCTCCCATTGAAATGTAAACATCGGCTTCATGGGGTATATCTTCAGGTTCGAGGGCTTCGTTGCCGTCTGCCAAGAACACTCGTCGTGCGGCCATGTTCAGATTCAGCTTCTCCGTGCACTGATCTAGCAACTGGAAGACAGCAAGAGGTAAGAGAACGTGATTCACAAAAGGAGAGAAACACATTTCCAGGACACAAAAGGTGCTAACAACAAACTAGAAACTTGAGTCAATTGCCAGAGTTAACTTGAGTAACTCTACTAATAGAGTTATTTTCTAGCAGTTGAAAATATACAAATAAAAGGTAAATCACAGCACTAAGAATATCTAATGATTGTCTAATTTCAGTCCTTAAATGTCCTGTCAGTTAAAGGTTTTTATAATCCTACAAGATATAAAGCCATTGTATGTGTTTAACTAAATATACTATTTGTATATTAGTGAAAAAGGAAAGAAATGCCTATGAGTGCTATGTATATATAAGCAATTTATAGATTCATATTACTAAGGAGAAAATCTTAACATAACGTCATTTTTCTCATCTTTTATGGTATAAAGAGAGTTAGAGAAGACATGAAGCACTGAAAACTGTGAACACTAGTTACCAAGGTGATGGTTGGTACAGTCACTTTGGCAAAGATCGTTCTAGATCCATTTTTGTAAGCTGTTACTCTAATCACTCTGGGCTGAAGTTTATATCTTTGAGAGAGTCTGTGCCAATTCTGGGCCGACTGAAATTTTAACGAAGAGAACTCTGCAACTCTGAAGAGAAAAAAAAAGCAAAAATTGGTGCATGTTAATTAGCTAAAACATTAAAAAAGATATTATCCTGGATATTTTTTAGAGATATAGCCCTAATGGCTATTTGTAAGTATTCTTAAAAAAAAAACAAAAAAAACTTTTTATAGGGTATAATTGTATATAACTACTTAAATATTTAAAAACACTTAATACAGGATAAGTTTGCATGTAAAACACATATCTTAGGATAAATCCTTTTAATCATTTATCGTTTTACTTATAAAAACATCACAACACTCATTTTAAAAAATTAAATTTATATATTATGTTCTGATAGAAAGCCAAAAAAAAAAAAAAATAGCAATATGTTCTTAACATCATAGAATAGTAAATGGCAAAAATTTTCCTTTAAGTTTTCATGTTGATCAAAGTTCTTTGATTTTTTTTTAAAGATTTCAAATTCAACTAGATTATAACTAACTTTTTTATTCTAAACTGTAATTTTAGATTAGTTCTGATTTTGGAGGCAGTAAGAGAAGTTTTGTCTTCTCTGAGTTGTGTCTTCAGTCAGAACCAGTGTCAATCCCAATTATTTTCTCGGCAAAATTGCATGCAAATGACTATCATGTCCAGTGTTTTACTGCAGACTTCTCTAACTCATCCTGTTCATTCTTAATGCTACAGAAGGCAAAATAAACATTTTAAAATAAACATTTTAGGGAAATAAAAGTCACAATATATCCACCGATTCCAACATATGAAAATAATGGGAGTAGCAGCTCCTTGACTTGATTTTGTTTCACAAACATTTTATCTTATCCACACACTCTTAGGTTATTAGTTAATAACAACCCTGATGCGAAAAATACATAAAACAGTTTTACAATAAGTTCATTATAATTTAATTTTACTTTGAAATATTGCTTAAATACCAACAGTATGCATTTCTATTTTTTTTTTTTTTTTTTTATCCTCACCCGAGGACATTTTTCCATTTTTTGTACAGATAGAGTGGGAGGGAGAGAGAGGAAGGGAGAGAGAGGGAAACATCGATGTGAAAGGGACACATCGAGTGGCTGCCACCCGCACGACCAACCAGGGCCGGGGACAAACTGCAACCGAGGTACGTGCCCTTAGCGGGAACCGAACCCGGGTCTCTCCGGACCGCAGGCGGACGCTCTAACCGCTGAGCCAAACTGGCCAGGGCTGCATTTCTATTTTTAAACAAATATCTCATAAGCAAAGATATTTCATGGTCCGAGACTAATTCTGCTTCCACTATTTTTTTTCAGAGTTTTATGTTATCCAGGTTGAAGTGCACCTCATGTTTTCCATAAGTGTAATTAACAACATTCTACTTCTGTGCTTTCAAAGAAAAACATAAATAAAATAAACAAAAACAGAAACAAAACCCTAGAGATGGAGATGTGTTACAGATGACTGAAATAGTCAACCGAATCATTATAAGTTCTGCTCAAAGGAAACAGCTTCAACAGTTGGTTAAAAAGAACAGAGGACAGCTTTGATTACCTCAGTTGACCCGCTGGAGCACTGACAGGTCTGTTTCTCTTGGATGCTGATATGAAACCAGAATTGTTTTCACTGTTTGATTTGTAGCTATCTGGGTCTGATATATCCTCATGGCTATGATCTGATGCTGTTTGATGTGGGGAGCAATCTTGAAGTCCTGACCCTTCTGATATTGCTGCTGAAAGCAACAGTCTGTTGGGGCCAAACTGAGGCTGCAAATAATTCTCAGTAGTTTTAATAACTGCTTTTGCCTGGGATGACATATCCTCCCTGGAAGAAACAATGCATGGAAGAATACAGTGAATTGATTTGTCATCACTTATTAACAACTACTACATAATAACCAGTTTTGTGCTGTGTGCTAGACAAAACACTACACACTTAGCCATTATTTTGTTTAATCCTTACAATAACCTTGGGAAGTGGGTACTATTTTTATTCCCATTTTCCAGATTTAAGAAACTGTGGCTCAGACAGGCTAATTAACTTGCCCGAGCTCAAATAATCAGTTATTTGGCAAGGAGGAATTGAACTCAAGCCTCTCCTAGGATAATACCCAAATTCATAACCATTAAATTTAATTACTTTCTTAAAGAATAAAGCTGTGTAACCTTTGAAACAATGTAAGTAAAAATTTTAAATTCTTAGATTAATTTATTAAACACTAGTACTCTGCAAAATATTAAGAAATACAGAAGTTAAACAGATGTGTTTCCTACCCTTGAGAAACTTGCAAACTAACCTCTAATACAGAGAGAATATATATATGTTAGATAAACTGCTTAGAATTGTGGGTGTGTATTAACTTTAAATGCGAAAGAGAACTCCTTGAAGGCAAATGTATGTAGGCTGGAATAACGTTGGTAAAGGCTTCAGAGCAGACCTGAGATTAGGGTGACTAACTCACCCTGGTTTGTTCAGGACTGTCCCGGCTTTGGCACCGAAATTCACACAGCCTGAGGGTTTCAGGTAATACAGCTTACTACCAGAATACACAGAACGTTAGGAAAGTAAAGCCACTCCAGGAAGGCACAGAGAGAATTAGAAAGCCATTCACTACTCTGTGAGATAACACTAGTCACGTAAGAACAACTCTAGTAGACTGCCACTTTTTTTGTTGTTATTCCTCACTCAAGGATCTTTTCCCATTGATTTTTAGAGAGAGTAGAGGAGAGAGAGAGAGAGAAACATTGATGTGCGAGAAGCACATAGGTTGCCCCCCGCCCCCCCGCCCCCGACCGGAGCCAGGATTGAACCTGTAACCCAGGTATGTGCCCTTGACTGGAATTGAACCCATGACCCTTTGGTCTGCAGGCCGACACTCTAACCACTGAGCCAAACCAGCCAGGGCTAGACTGCCACTTTTTTGACTCAGCAACCTCATCTCTCCTGCTTCCTCTTGTGTCTATCTGCTTCCTCTTCCTGTATCATTATCACCTAACCTACCTCTGTCTTCCTCCTCACTTCTCATGGAAATTCTAACTCCCCCTATGTGTCTCCCCAATTCTACACATTACTTTCTTTTTTTACATTCAACCACATTTTTATTTTATTTTTTTGCTATTATTTATTTTTTTCTATTTTATTTAATTAATTTATTTTTGTTACAAATGTTTCTCCTTTTTCCCCACTGATACCCCCTCCCCCACCCTCCCTGCCCTGTCCCCAGCTTTGTTGTCCATGTCCATTGTTCATGCATACATGCATATAAGTTCTGTGGTTTATCTCCCTCCCCCCACCCCCTCTTCTGGGGATTGTCAGTTTGTATCCCACTTCCACATCGCTGGGACTACCCCATTCCTCAGACTGTTATGTTCATTATATTCCACAAATAAGTGAGATCATATGATACTTGTTTTTCTCTGTTTGGTTTATTTTGCTTAGGATAATACTTTCCAGGTCCCTCCATGTCATCTCAAAGGATAAGAGATCTCTCTTTCTTACAGCTGCATAGTACTCCATTGTCTACGCATTACTTTCTGCAGACTCTCTCGGCATGTCTCACATTTAATTCCCCAAAAAGTTTAATTTCATCAATAGCCAGTAAAGGACACTCCTGTTGGGTAGAACTCTCAAGCTAGATGACCTCATAAACCACTGGCAAGACTGTGGATAGGAAACTAACCATCACTCACCCAAAATACTGTGGGTAGGACCGCAGGATAATAAGGAACAGAGGAGTTAGAGGAAGAAGGGCTCTCGATGCCTCCCAAAGGAGGAAAGCATACCTGGCAGGGGCTTGCGTGCCTAGATAGCACACTGAGATAAGCAGAAACTCTGTCCACTGATTGATTGAAGAATTACTCACTAAAATACATCACACCATTTAACTACCACGTTTTTTTCATTTAACAACTACTCAAAGGCTATTCTGACACTTCTGATTATTTTAATATTAGCCATTCACTTCTAATCATAAACAGAAGAATGTAATATTGCTTATAAGCCTAGTCCTGAACCATCTTGGCCCAATAGTTTGTTGTCAGTGTTGATCCAAAGGGATGTGGACTACAAGGAAGGACTGTTCTTCTTAATGTCAACCTTCAGGGTGAGCAAATAAACTGCCAGCATGATATTCCCATCATTGTAATACAGGACTTTGTCCCCCGCTCAAAATCCTCCCAATTTATTTTCTGAGTCCCCAAAATGGTACCTTATAACTCCTAAAAGTGTCCCCAAGTTCCTATAAAACTCTGTTGGTGGGAGTCACGGCTGTGTCATCTCACCACTCCACTGCGTCACTGCCCATCACGGGAACAATGAGGGTCAGGTGAAGGTGCTGCTTGTTGTGTTCCCACAGATTCCAGTGCAGGTGTGGGGAGAAGAAATACCTCTCAACCCTACTATATGAAGTCACCTGGACCGTGCCGCCGCTCAAGCTGTAGGCAGAGTTCCGAAGAGTCTTCCTTGAACAGCTCCACCAGATTTTAGCCCTTACTTGACCAGTTACAGGTACTCTAATCCAGCCCACAGGCCCGACAAAGAATAAATGGTATTGATATTAATAATAACAATATTAATAGCTAATATTTACATAGCACTTAGAGTGACAGCTACTATTCTAAGCACTTTACTTATAGTTTCATTTAATCCTCAAACAGCCCTGTATTATTTTCCCCATTTTACAGATGAGTAAACTGAGGGCTTAAGTAACTTGCCAAAGGTCACACAGCAGCCAGGTGTCAGAGGCATGATTCAAATCCAGGCAGTTTGGCTCCACAATCTCCACACTTAGCCATCATCCTATAATGTTATTTTCATTAACACTAAAACATCCTTACTTACTATTAGTTAGAAATAGTAAGTAAGAGTTTAGGAAAAAAGGAGAGCTACAAGAAGGGGAGCTGAAATTTAGAATATGGTAGGGCAAAGGGAGGTGGGCAAAGGACTTAGACGTACATTAGCAGTGGTAAACCAGTAGTGCTCTTCAGTTAATACAGCTTTCATAGCTATATGTATTGAAGTCACCATAGTTGTATTCTCCCCGTTTTTCTTTCTTTCTTTTGTGTCTCCCAAGATTTTTCTTTCAAAAATCCTTTTTTAGCCCTCTGCAAAAATCTCTTGGAAATCCCATGTCACTCAGCTTTATTAAAGTGAATTTCCCTCTATCTCCAGATTTATATATATTAACTTCAGAGTTATCTTCTTCTCAAAGACACTTTTTGCCTTTTGAGAATTTAGTCTATTTACATGTAGTAGATATTCACACAGTAGTCTCCTTCACCAAGACTATTTTGTCTTTTAATTGAGAACTTAGCTTGTTTACATTTAAAAAATTTTTGTTTTCTTTATTTTTTAGAGAAAAAGGAAGGGAGAGAGAGAGAGAGAGAGAGAGAGAGAGAGAGAGAGAGAGAACACTGATGAGAGAGAACATTGATTGGCCACTTCCTGCATGACCCCCACTTTGGATTTGGCCCACAACCTGGGCATGTGCCCTGAGCAGGAATCAAACCAGTGATCAGTTGGTGCATCGGTCAATGCTCAATCACTGAGCCACTCCGGCTGCATAGCTTGTTTACATTGAATATGTATTCACAGTTATCTACTTCACTAAGACAGTCTTTGTCTTTTAATTGAGAACTCAGCCTGTAATCTTATTATTTGTTTTTTATTTTTCCTATCTGTTCTATGTCCCTTTTTGTTCCTTTTTTTCCCTAGGGTTAAATAATAATTTTATGTTATTTCATTTTACTTAGGTTGTTACACTATATTGTTTAACCTTACTTTTAGTCGAAACGCTAGATGTTACAATATAAATTCAATGCAAGAACCTTAGAACACATCATATTCATTTATTGTACTTGTCTTTAACAGCTGCTGGTTTTATGCTAGAAGCTCAGCTCCAAAATTCTGCCCTGCATGGCCATCCTTAAGGCTTTGCATCCTGTCTTTCCTATATTTTCTATGACTTATTAATTATATAGATTTTACTTTATATTTTATTTTAAGATCTATATTTTGTTGTAGCTGTCTTTTATAAAATTATATGTTATATGATAGTTTTCTTGAACTTTGTCTTTTTCAACTAATACTAAATTAAGTTTAGTGCTATGGTTACATTTATTTATTGGCTCATCTGAAGTCCCCATGGATGGGTGTAAGAATTCCATATTAATTCCTACAACCAATTATTCTAGGAAATGGTCCTTTATCTTAAAAAAAAAAAAAAAAAATGAATAACCTCACTTAATGATGACACTTTCTACCACATTCTGGAACTTGAGCTAATTTTATAATACAGATTTTATTTTTAATATTCTATGTCAGTATTATTATCTTGTCCTGGAAGTCTATGCTATGTCTCTATTGTAAATCTTTTATTAAATGTGCAAATAATTCATATATACACAGACTTCAAGTAGTTCCTTTTTCAGTAGGATTTCTATGCTACTTTTGTATATAGGAATGTACTTCCTTCCTATGCACTGACATCAGCTCTGGTAGATTTGATAGCTGGGATCATTATATCTCATTAATTCTTTCCTACTATCTAAAATGCTAGACCTCACTTTCTTTCAAATGTTCTAATCTGTCATTGTATTATTTCTTTTACCACTGGTATAAAAGCATTTTTTTTTTTTTCAGGCTGAAAACTAAAAGCCACTATATATTAATTAGATTGACACAAGAACATCAACCATATTACTTCAAAAACATAGCTTTAAAAAATATCGATTTATCTATCAATCAATCAATTATCTATCAATCTATCTATCTATCTATCTATATCAGTTTTCTATGGTTGTGCAATGAATTACCACAAACATAGTGGCTTAGAACAGCACCTATTTATTACTACACAGTTTTCATGTATCAGGAGTCTAGGCAATGCTTAGCTGGACCCTCTACTCGGGATCTCAAAATGCTGAAATCAAGGTGCCAGCTGGGGCTACAGCCTCATCTGATGCTCAGGGTCTTCTTCCAAGCTCATTCAGGTTTTGCCAGAATTTGGTTCTTTACAGCTACAGAACTCACAGTGACTATTATCTCTGAAGACAGTAGACTCACTCACCTCTCTGACTTTTCTAACTCTGATCTCTCTAAACTCTCATTTAAGAGTTGATTTGATTAGGTCAGGCCCATCCAGGATAATCTCCCATTTGGTTAACTAGAAAGAACTATTATGTACCTGAACCACATCTGCAAAACTGTCCTTTGTCATTTAATGTAACCTGATCATGGGAGTGACATCCTACCATATTCACAATTCCACCCACACCCAAGAAGAGGGAATTATACCAGGCATATATATACCAGAGGGTGGGAATCTTGGGAACCATATTAAATTTCTGCTTACCATACTAGCTATATAATTACCCAGGTTTTATTATTCATTTTTTTAGATAATGGATAATAAAATTTAGATCCACATATTTTATTTTCTGGAAAATTCTAATATAATTACTTAAGATTAAGTTTTGACATAATTCAAGATATTTAAAAGAATGTGTCACAGACGCTGTCAGGAAAATCCAAAGTAGAACTTAAAAAATGCTTTGAGATGATAATGTATTATTTTAAGGTGGTGGGGAGATTAGGGGAGGTATTCACTTGGATGTAAATGTTCTGGTATGTTTCTTCTAAAAAAACAACAGTTACATTATCGCTGAGTTAGTTTATAGTCAATTATTGAAAAAAAGATTATTTATTTTAGCAATCTGAATAATTTATTAAAAATTAGGTCATAAAAGAAACCAAAGAACAAATGTGGTTATGTGTGTTAATATGCATATAAACTATATAAATAATTTTATGTGTGCTTAGGAAGACGAATTAAAATGTCAAAATTTAACCTTAAATAAGTATGAATTAAAGCTATCAGTTAATTAAAAATTATTGAACTTCAGGTGAATACATCGTTTAGACAACTTCTACATATGATACAATGGATATGATAAATCACAGAATTACAAAGTCATATTAATAAGTTATCTAAGCATTTATCTCTTTTTCAAACAGTACTATAACTCAACTGCATGTCAGCTTTCTACTATAACCAAACAGATTATCAGGGACAGATCTTATATATTATGGAATTTACAAGCCCCTTGATAACCCAGGCTAGTGTTTAATTATGCTTTACTCTCATTGATTTCCACTTAATCTATTTTACAATTTTTGTTTCACAAAGCAATAACCAAGTTAAGATGTGAGATCTAAAAGTATAAGAAAATATATTCAGGGAGGAGTAGAGAAAAGCAGAAGATTAGATTTAAGTGTATGACTCTAATTTTGACAAGAGCAATTTTTCTTCTCATTTCCTTTGCCTAAATAGCACTAGTGAATCTTACTTAATGGCTTTTTATAGCAATTTGGGGAAAACTAATAAAGTCATATTTGTTGAACTCATATTCTAGGAATTCTACCAACTGATGCTGCTCATTGCCCCTTGTAATATATTGACCTATAACTGCACCTCATTGCCTTCCATAATTCTTATCTGTATACCTTTTTGCCAGTGGTGTTCACTCAGTGTATCTATACCCATTACTGTACATCTTTCAATAAATACATATTTAATAAGTGTTAACCTGAACTCGGTGCTTATGATTTCTAGAAACCTCTTCCATAATAACTGTCTAGTAGAAGAGATACACGTTAAATAAATAGTCACACAAAGAAATTTGCAATTACTGTGAAGGAAGTCCTGGTTACTATAAAAGAGAAATACAGAGGCTAGGGGTATAGAGAAGGCCTCAACAAAACTGTTCAAGCTGACAAAACACAAAAGAGGAGTTAACCCCACCAGATCCTAGTCAATCCTTATTCTAAATCATTCTCCCCCCAGGTCCCATGCGTGCGTGCGTGCGTGCGTGTGTGTGTGTGAATTGACACTGTTTTGCATACTGATATGTTTGCTTTATGATTTAAAATACCATTCTACAAAGGTAAGATCCTTGTTTTACATATATATTTTTTTAATCCTCACCAGAGGATTAAAGATTTTTCTATTTATCTTCAGATGAAGTGGGAGGGAGGGAGAGAAAGAGAGAAACACTGACATGAGAGGGACACATCAACTGGTTGCCTCCCGCAGGACCATGACCAGGGCTGGGGACCAAACTGCAACTGAGGTACATGACCTTGACTGGAATCAAATCCATGACTCTTTGGTCTGAGGGCCGACACTCTAACTGCTGAGCCAAACTGGCCAGGGCTTGTTTTACATATTTTACACTTTCAGGGGAACTCAACCAGATTGGTATGCAGGAATTATTCTTTGATAATTATGACATCATGCAAAAATGTTACAAAAATGCTACTGACAAAAAACAAGCACAATTTAAGAAATAAAATATAATAAAGTTCAAGCCAAGAGTTATGTCAGGTAATGTTCATTTTATCTAAGTCATTTCCCTGATTTTTCCTTAGATGAAAACAGTTGATTACATTTGAGGATTCAACCACTTTATATTCCCATGGAAGGTAGCCCCCGATCAGCTCCAGGGAGGAATCCTCAGTGGTCTAACACCAATGACGGTAATTCCATTTCCCTTACACCTTGCCAGTTATGCTATTAGCTTGTGATTCCATTTGGACCAATGGGGCATGAGGAGAAGTCTTCTGGGGAAAGTTTTTTTTCCATAATGAAAAAGAGAGGTAAGTGATCACATTATTTTTCATTAAACATTGTTGAGTGAAACTGTGGTGAGCCATCTTGTGAGTAGGAAGAGTCAAACCCAAGGATCTAACCCAGTGGTTCTCAACCTTCCTAATGCCGCGACCCTTTAATACAGTTCCCCATGTTGTGGTGACCCCAACCATAAAATTATTTTTGTTGCTACTTCATAACTGTAATTTTGCTACTGTTATTAATCGCCATCGGAAATATGTGTTTTCCGATGGTCTTAGGTGACCCCATAGGGGTCGTGACCCACAGGTTGAGAACTGCTGAATTCTAACTAATATTCTGAGGATGGCAGTGGGAAAGACACAAAGAGCCATGCTCTTTTTTATTTTTTTATCCTCATCTGAGGACATTTTTTGATATTTTGTTCAGATAGAGTGGGAGGGAGGGAGGGAGAGAGAGAGAGAGAGAGAGAGAGAGAGAGAGAGAGAGAGAAACATCGCAGTGAAAGGGACACATCGAGTGGCTGCCACCCACATGACCCAACCAGGGCCGGGGGGGCGGGGGGCACTGCAACCGAGGTACACGCCCTTAGCGGAACGAACCCGAACCCGGGTCTCTCTGGACCTCAGGCTGATGCTCTAACTGCTGAGCCAAACCAGCCTGGGCCAAAGAGCCATGCTCTTGAACAGCACTGCAGAACCACTAAATTTAACCCTAGAATTGTCTTGCCTGTGAAGTTCTTGTCATGTGAGATAATGACTATTTATTCCTCATTTTTAAAGTTACTTGCAGTTGAGTTTTCTGTTACTTCCTAGTAGTAGCCTAACTTACACAATCAACATTTTAATCATGCTTGCTTTACTTTTAGCTTTATTCAGAAAATTTACGAATTTTGAATAATTTTATAATGAGTTATAAAATATAAACTAATATGGTATTTCCTAAAAAGTCTACCTTACTTAATAAGAACTATTTCACCAGAAATGTCAGCATAAGCATAACATGACATAGACCTTTAAAAATTTTCTTCCTTTTGGAGACACAGTGCATCTTGGTGAGTTCAGATTTCTGCGACAGTAATCTGCATGTGGCCAATCATTCTATTCACAAGTAGAAAGTGTGGCTACTTTGACAGAACATGGCTCAGTAACAAGCATGCAAGTCCAAGTTATCACACTGTCTGGATGTGAATGCAACAGCAGGATAATGACAGCTGCCAAGGATTTGTACTTGCTGTCGCTTCATACCAGTGTGGCCTGTCAAAATGTCTCTCTTTCTCATACAGAAGCCATAGAATTTTTATGGATAGCAATTACTTACAATATACTATGAAGTACATCAAATCTAACAACCACTCTTTAGCTCGTCATTATTTGGTACTCTCTTTGTTAAATGTAGTCAACCATTTTCATCTAAATTATTTATTTATACTGTATATTTGACAAGCATATATTTCTCGCTTTATATTCTTATGGCATTTAAACCTTCCTGAAGAGTTATGTTTCTTTTTTTTTAATATTGTCATTTGTAGAACTTATCTTTATCCTATTACCATTTTAATGGTAATTAAACTCTCTAATTGGAATAAATACAAATAAGAAAATGTAAATGTAAAGAAAAATAACCCTAAGTACATTCAATAATAAATCATCACCTTAAAATACTGGAATACAACCAATAAGAGAAATAACCCCACATACGTTTGGTGAATGTAAACGTGTATAAAAATCTTTGGAGTATATAAAGCATACACATCTTATAAAACTTCATCCTACCCTTCCCCAAACTTGATGAAATAAATAACCTCTAAAGATATAAATAACTTCCTACAGTTGTTAGATAAAATGTGTTTTAAACATCATAGAAAGTTAATAATAAACATGAATAATTCGTCCATATTTTATTTTCAACACCAGAAGAAACTATAATTCTAGTTTGGCCTAGAAACGTTGGTAAGGGTATCCCAATTGATATATCAGGACGTAAATCATCCCCCCACAGGAAAAAAAGAATTCTTCTGTTTGTGCAAAAGTGCAATGGAATAAAAACAAGCTATATCTGAAATCTAAAACTGGGGGAGGTTATAGATATTATGTATCACTTTTCCAGAGGAAATTTAAATTTTTAAAAAGAAACAGTCTTTTGACATTGAGGAAATAATATATGAATGTTTAGATCTAGAGAGATTTTTTTTTTAACTAACAGAAAAAAATGGAAACTATATGAACTAGGGAAAGTGTGACTTGTTGGGCAATGGAGGCTGAAAACAGCGGAGGTGCTGCCTGGCTCCCTCCACTATTGCTGTCTCCCCTTCACTGTCTTCTGCTACCCATTCCGTGGGGGGACCGACAACTCCTCTTTGGAATACTGAAATCAGGCAATCTAGCCAAGTGTTTATATTTCAAAAAAGACTCAGGCTAATTCCAATGAAAAATATCCAAGATAACTAAAAGGACATAAAAAAGTGAGTGAAGAATTAGGTGCAGTTAGTCTCCTTGAAAGCAAGATTGAAAGGATATAATGGATAAAAAAAAAATCCATGAAATTGCATCCTTAGATGATCATCAGCTAAAAATCATTAAACAAAATATTTTATATGTGAGATAGAAAGAGATATTTTTTACAATGTTCTCTTAATTTTAAAATGCAACTTTATTTTAAAATCTACTCAGCATTTGGAGACCCCTTCTATAAATATGGCAGAACTGCTCCTAGATACTTGTGACCAATAAATACAGGAATCGATGTTTTCATCTATGTCCCCTATGATACATTAGACTACAGCTGGATAGAACAAGCTTCCTATTGTGCTACTTTCCTGGAAGTTGCCACAAGAATGAGACTAGACTCTTCCAGTCATCTGACCTGTTAGTGGTAAGTCATGAAATGGGAAGATCAGACCTTTGGCACAATGTGTTCACCTCATTTATTCTGTTGTGATTCATTTTCTTAGGGAAGGATCCTGGCACAACAGTTTTCAATCTGTTACAAATAAATGTAGCAGAGAGTGATACAGGAAAAACAATGAAAGAATACAAGAAAGAGAGGAGTGGGTGATGTGAATATAATACAGAGCAAATTAATAACATCAGATAATAACATGAGAATAAAGGGACTGATCACCATATGAATGGATTTAATATATGTAGGCATATTTTATAAAATGTATAATGTGTTAATTAGTGAAGAAAAGCAAATCTCTGTGATATAAGGAACAGGTTGACTACATTTTCATAACTGTTTCTCATAAAGAGATCACAAAGATGGTGGAAGAAAAGTGGCAAGGAAAACAAGAATGAGACAAGAAAAGTTTTAACCTCAATCAGGGGAAAATGTCTTTACTCACCGAGAAAATTGCCTCTCTCTGATAATCATGTTAGTACATGAATCTTAGATCTCCATTAGTCTTTGTCAACTTGACCTTTTTCAAAATTCATCATTTTATTTTCATTAAAATAAAAGACCTCTGGTCATTGTTTTTGACTTTCCATTCGATTGCTAAGAAGAGGTTTACTTCATTTTCTGGGTACACCATAATCAAAGTTGATGGTAACAGGCAATAGTGACAGAAAAGGAGTCTGGATTCAGACAAAGAAATAGAAGCACATTAAAACAAACTGTAAAAAACAGGTGGTAGAGCCCTGGCTGGTTTTGCTCAGTGGTTAGAGCGTCGGCCTGCAGTCCAGAGAGACCCGGGTTCGGTTCCCGCTGAGGGCAGGTACCTCGGTTGCAGTTGGTCCCCGGCCCTGGTTGGTCGTGCGGGTGGCAGCCACTCGATGTGTCCCTTTCGCATCGATGTTTCTCTCTCTCTCTCTTCCTCTCTCTCCCTCCCACTCTATCTGAACAACAACAACAACAAAACAGGTGGTAGGAAAGTGTTGCATGAAAAAAAGACTGGCATATTAAAAAATAGATAGATAGATAGATATAGATATAGATATAGATATAGATATAGATATAGATATATTTAGAAAGCCACTTAAAGAGACCCAGAATCAAAGATAGAAAATTAGGGGAAAAAAGAAAAGAAAAGAAAAAAACAGAATAAATGAAATTACAGTTAGCTCTAACAAAAAAAAAAAAATAAAGCTTCTAGAAATACACAAATGACAGTTGGAACAAAAAGTGAATATAGTAAGTACTGGAAAGGAAAATAATTCTACAGGCAATAAAATGTGCAAATACACATTTTATTAGCATTGGCACTTGTATAAAGGAATACTCAAAAATCCTATTTAAATTTTTTCCCATTATTTTATCGGGAAAAAAATTATCATGAGTAGCTTGTCTCTGTAACTACTGGATAATAATTTTCTACAAAATTATCTAGCTATACACTGTACAAATGATCTCTTCCACTGCAAATATTCATCAGAACTCAGAGGAATAAGGCAAAACAAAGATTAGCTGAAAGTCTAGATTTCATTTTCATCTAAACTTGCTGACAAACACAGAAACAATCAAATTGTTCTAAGATATAAATATGACCTAGCATTTCTATAAAGAGATTAACATCACCCTATTTCATGAATATTTTCTTCAATGCTTTTATAGTTCATGTTTTCTGTTTAACGTGAAGACTATTTAATAACATTTAGCTAAACAATAGGGTTATCAATACCTGACTGACACTTTTTCAATAGAGGAAAACTACTTTTGTCTCATCTGCTTTATATTTCTGACAAGTGTGGTGGAACATAATAGTTAAGAGTTCTGGCTGCTAGATCTCTGTGGATTCAAACTGTACCTTCTCTACTTACCAGCTGTGTGATCTTGGTAAAGTTCATGAACTTCTCTAGGTCTTTGTTTCCTCACAGGTAAAATGGAGATATTTAAAATATTATCTCTCTTATATTTCTCCCAGGGTTGCTTTGAGAACTAAATAGGTATAATTCAGCTTACCTAGCACATAGTGAATCTTATCTTCCCTGCCATTCTTGTTACTATCATTATGCTACAGGGCAAGTCAGACTCCAGAGGTAAGGTATGTTAATTACATCATCTATCTTTTAAAATAGAAAAAAATTGAAGGACTAACCCAGACAACAACCTTCATAGCCCATAACTTGGCTCTAAGTTATTACTGACATCATAATCTCCACCAAATCTTGGACACTTACACAGACAACTTTTGAGAAGCACTTTTATCCCCCTCAGAATTCAGTTTAAGCCGCTGAAATAATATTGTTACCTTGGTAAATCATTTGAAACATATTTGTAAATTGAGTGAATGGTATCCCCATTGAAGGTGACTTCAGAGTTGTTTTGCTGTGATACCTTCATGGCCTTAGTCAAGGGTGATGAAGAAGACTGAGAAAATGCTGCTCTGTGATCTTCTGTTTCTATGTTTGCCATTTTCAGCTAAGAATAAGGAAGAATGATGTTTATGTAAAATATAAAATCCTCCTGGTTTATAAATTGAGGCTAGGCATTAATTACAATTTACTCCTTATCACGTTCTAGACTATACAGCAGTTGCTAAATGTGAAATCTCATTAGAAATGAACAGAGATGACAGCCCCAAGGAAGACAAGATTATAGATCTAAGTCATTATTATAATCATCCTTGAGAAAGAAAAAAAAAGATAATTGGTTGCAAAGTATTTCAATTTTTGTTGTTTGCTAGAAAATCACTTATTATTCAAACAAACTTAACATGAGGAGTATGTTACTGAAAATGCTTATTTTCTGGTCTGTCCTTCATCTTTCCCTTTTGGAAACTACCTTCCACCTGCTTTTACTGGGACTGTAAGTTCTGTGGCCTTGCTTCCCAAGCAGCGGAGTGTGTCCAAGGCTAGCCAATCAAACTGCCTTCCCCAGACACAGGAATTGCTACATCAGAGTCCCCATAAAGAAAACAAAGCAGTGAGTGCCCTGTTCTCCGGGAATGCTAGCTTCAAGAGCAATGTGTGAAACCAAAACAGATGAAAGCAAAAGTGAGAGATAAAGAGAGATTAAAAAGGGAGAGAGATTCTTGATGAAAACATTTGAATCCCTGAAACTAGCTGTCAACAACAACCACATCTCTTGTTTCCTGGGTAACTGGGTATGTGAGCCAACAGACTCCTTTGTTTTGCTTAAGTTAAAGGCTGGGATTCTCTTATTTGCAACCTAGAAAGCTTGAGTAACATACACAGGAAATAATATCAAAGAATGTTATAGCCTTGGCTGGTTTGGCTCAGCAGTGAGAGTGATGGCCTGCGTACTAAAGGATCTTGGGTTCGATTCCCAGTCAAGGCCACGTACCCAGCCCTGGTCAGGGTTGTGTGGGAGGCAACCAATCAAAATCTCTCTCTCACATCGGTCTCTCTCTCTCTCTCTCTCTCTCTCTCTCTCTCTTTCCCTCCTTCCCTTCCACTCAATCTAAAAGTCAATGGAAAAATATCCTCAGGTGAGGATTAACAACAACAACAACAAAAAGAATGTTATAGGTTCCTTTCTATGTTATAGCTTCCTCTCACAATGCTGATACAAATGGCTACAAAGCCTCATCTCTGGAGTCCCAAGGTAACATGCCATACCACTACTAAGGGAAGCATGTGACTTGTAAGATAATAAAATAAAAAAAATACTTCTACCTTTCAACCACTATTCTGAAATAAAAGCATTCTTGCATCCATGGATTATTTATTGAGCACCTACAATGTATTTGGCAATGTTGAGGCACTTAGAATTTTTTATTGAACAAAGTAGAAAAAAAAATTATGCCCTTTTGGAACTTATATTCTAGTGGAGGCAGATAATAAATAATAAATATAAAGAATAAGTAAATTGTTGCCCAGCCAGTGTAGCTCAGTGGTTGAGCACTGACCCAGGCACCAAGAGGTCACCAGTTCGATTCCTGGTCAGGGCACATGCCCAGGTTGTGGGCCAAATTCCCAGTGGGGGACATGCAGGAGGCGGCCAATCGATGTTCTCTCTCATCGATGTTTCTCTCTCTCCCTCTCCCTTCCTCTCTAAAATCAATAGAGAAAAAAATAAATAAAAAAGAATAAGTAAATTGTTAAGATATTAGGTGATACATGCTATGGAAAAAAATTGATCAAGGGCGGGTAGACTGGGGTTATGGAGATGGAGGGAATTACGATTTGAAACAGGTTTGTCAGCAGAGGCCTCAGTGAGGTGGTGCTATCTGGACAAACACTTAAAAGAGACAAGGGAGTAAGCCATATAATATCCAGAGCGAGAAAGCCTAAGGTGGGGTACGCCCTGCAGGTGGAAGGAACAGCACAAATAGATGGGTAAGAGGGAATGTAGTTGAGATGAGGATACGTAGGCAATGGATAGGACAGAGATAACATTGGGCCTTGTAAGATGCTGTTACGACTTCGAGTGAAGCAGAGAGTCTATGGAGTGTTCAGAGCAAGGGAGTCATATGATTTTTGTTTTTAAAGGTAATTTTGGCTGCTGTGTTAAGAATACATCAAATGTATCAAAATACCTGCATTTCAATGTCCTGATTTGTCCATATATTAATGTCTTCTAATACTTGTGTAAATTCTTTGTGGTAGAGATGGCCAACTGTCTGCCAATATCCATTCTTCTATGCTATATTCTTCTATGACACTTCTATGACACTGGAATCCCTGACTTTTAACTGAGGCATATGGCTGTCCAAAATAAAGGCTATTTTCTGGTCTTCCTTGCAGCTAGGTAGGGCCAGCTAGTCTGGTCAATGAAATGTTAGTGGACATGATCCGTGCAAATGAGTTTACTTTTCTTTTTCCTCCTTTTTGCTACCTAGAATGAAGACATGAAGGCTGGCCCCAGATGGGTCATCTTTAACTTTGATATGATGCTAGGAATAAAAGCCTTGCCCCAAGGAGGACAGTAGGAGTCTGAATGTCTGACAACACAGAGTACCAGGTGAACCCTGGACTACCTACCTTCAGACTTTTACATAAGGAATAAAATTGTGGCTTGTTCAAAACACTGTTAATTTGGATCTTTGTTGTGTGTAGTCAAACCTATTCTGGAAATTCCTGCTAGCCCTTGAACTAAATTGCTTTCAAGTATCTAAAATATATGGTATTGGCTTAGAGCAAGGAAGTGGGAGGGACACTAGAATGGCTAGGAATCTAAATTTAACTGAGAGTCCGGTAATTTGGGGCTTTGGGCCTTTTGGACTCCCCAAGCTTCCACAATCACCATGAGCCAATCCCTTAAGTAATTCAGTTAATCTCTCTCTCTCTCTCTGTGTCTCTTTGTGTAGTTGGTTCTGTCTCTCCCTAGAACCCTAATATTTCTCTTTCAAAGATCATGTCAGCCTGCAAGGCGGAACTGAGGACTGGGGCCACAAAGACTTTCCGTAAGTACAGACCAGTAGAGCCATCAGTGGTGACGTGGGTCAGTACGAAGCTATAGCAACCACAGCAACACTACCAATACCACCAGCAGCAACAGAAAAATAGACCACCACCAGGGCATCTGGAGGATTTCCCTTTTGAACTGTGATTAACCCCTAAGGTTCTTAGAAAATCTACAAGAGTCTAGGAAGCTCAAAGAGTATGATACTAGACTTGCTGCTAAAGAACTATAATATAATTTATACTCACAAGTGTAATGGAGGAATACACACCTATAACACATAAGAAAAAAATCATGTCTTTCTCTGCCACTTACTAGCTATTAAACCTTGGATACTATTACCTTTCTGAGCTTTAGTCCTTTCATTTACAAAACTAGGTAATCCACATGGTTATGAGGATTAAATAAAATGGTCAGCCCTGGCCAGTTTGGCTCTGCGGTTTAGCATCAGCCTGCAGACCAGAGAGTCCCGGGTTCAGTTCCTGCTAGGGGCACATACCACAAAAAAAAATAATAATAATAATAAAATAAATAAATAAAATGGTCAACGTGAAAGTATGTGGCACAGTGCTTGGCACATGGTAGATGTTTTTAAAATGTTAGATGAATCTGAATCTATATCAAAATAAAAAAAGGTATTTCTACATAGTTTAATAAGAGAAAGTACTTTTGTCTACCCAGCACTCCATGGTATTCCAACTGGAGACCCAAGGGCTGTTGGCCTCTAACTCCCCCTCCCCCCTCAAGCTTCTCCCAGTAGGACGTCCGAGGTTCTCTTCCCAGGCTTCCATAACAACCACCGAATGTCCAATTCTTTCATAGGTCAAGTCCTTTCTAATTGGGGAATGCTTATCGGTAAGAAATCCAGCTGTGTATAGCAAGGCAAAATTATACGATTAGAGAGTAAATCACCTTGAAGAACAAAATCCCTTGACTGTCCTGGTGTGTTTATTATATAATCCACTTATTTAAAATCCCAAAATAAAGTCTGCTCCGAACTATTTCAAAATATCTCTTGATATATTGCAATAGTTTTAATTTTTACTTATGCATGATTATAATCCTAATCTTCACCGAAGGGGGTAATCATTTCTCCATGTAAAATAGTTTCAGGATGCTTTTAGGTGAAATGAGCTATGTAAGTGTGAAATCATTGCCATAATTAAATGCAATATTTCTTCTGTAATGTTACTATAAAAACAGTGTCATCCTCACTAAAAGTAGAACATATTAACAGGTTAAGCAGAAACGCAGAATACAATAGGTTTTCAGATAATATTCCTGCACATTATTAATTAAATGAGAACTATTGTTAAATAGAAATTAAAGAAGTAAAAAGTGTTCATTTTAACTTGACTGACACTAAATACTATGAAACTCTAGTGGAGTACAGAAAAAGGCACTGCCTTATGTTTTATTAACTCACACAGAGTCTTTTCACCAACACATTGGAAAAGCACCATTTTTCTTCTCATCTCTTAACAATCTTACATGGATACAAGCTCTCCTCTCATGCCCACACTTGGATCTCTTCTTTGACCCTTTTTTCAAGTACACAGTGGTTAGGAGCCTGGACTCTGGAGCTGCTGTGTCTGGGTTCACATCCCCACTGCCCGCTTACTAGCTGTAATGCGTAGACAAGTCACATAACCTCTTTACGCATTGGTTTCTCTACTTGTATAATAAGGTTAAGAATAGTAGCCACTTCATAAAGTTGATGTGCGAAGCACACAGTAGGTGCCATGTGTCAGCGACTGAAGAGGAGAGGCTTGGTGATCTTCACGTTGGGGCACTAAAGAACCAATTACAGTACCTGGAGACTTTCCAAGGCGCCTGTGAATGTGGACAGTTTTAAGCAAGTCAATTTCCAGATGCCTGCCATACACACACACACACACACACACACACACACACACGATTTCCTAAAATGCATCTGTCCAAGAAGCTGCCTGTCCCAACTAGAGTTTGTCCTTGAAAAGTCTCTATTCTGTCATTTTATAACAGAGAGGCATTTTATGCCCATCCCAGGGTCTCAAACCAAGAGACAACTTCACTATTTCTTTAATTAAAAAATTTTAAGTGTCCTCATCAATCTATACCACTAATATATACATTTCCAGTAAATTTTACTTTGTATATATATATATTTTTTTATCCTCACCCGAGGACATTTTTTCCATTTTTTGCTCAGATAGAGTGGGAGGGGGAGAGAGAGTGAGAGACATTGTCGTGAAAGGGACACATCAAGTGGCCGCCACCCACACGACCCAACCAGGGCCGGGGACAAACTGCAACCGAGGCACGTGCCCCTAGCGGGAACCAAACCCGGGTCTCTCTGGACCACAGGCCGACACTCTAACCGCTGAGCCAAACCAGCCAGGGCACTTTGTATATATTTAGTGAATATCAGAAAATGATAATATATTCATGCTGCTTCGAATAATTGTGTACTAACATAATTATAATAAAAATTCAATCCTGAGGAAGTTTTTCAATACTTACAACCTTATTGTGACAGGACACTTAAAAATGTATAGTTACTGTATGATAGAATGGCCTGTAAAAGACTTTCAAGCATTGCCTGGCAAGTGTGGCTCAGTGGATTTAGCAGCATCCTATGGACTGAGAGGTCCCAGTTCCATTCCCAGTCAGGGCACATGCTGTGGTTTCAGGCTTGATCCCCAGTAGGGGGCGTGCATGAGACAGCCGATTGATGTGTCTCTCTCACACTGATGATTCTCTCCCTTCCTCTCTCTCTAAAAAATCAATAAAAATATATTTAAAAAAAGAGAGACTCTCAAGCATAAAAGATACAATTTAATGGAAGAAATAAAGTAGAAATAGAAGTTGAAGAAAAAGAATGTACAATTCGCAACTATTAAAGAATAACCTGTTAATGTTTTATTTTTCCTATTGAAATTTCAATGATAAAGATTTTTTATTGTTTTGTTTTAATAGCTATAATTATACAACTATACAAACTAAATGTACTAGGGTAAACCTAGCCATGTCCCTTTTGCCTTATTCTGAGCTACCAGAGCTATGGCTAGCAGAGCAGTTCTTGCATATTCTCATCACTTTATTATCCTGTCACCCATTGTTCTAATAAAGAAATCAAGTTTACCCAAACATATAAAAGGCATCTTTGTGGCCCTCCAAACTTGCTATCCCTAAACTACTTTGCTAATCCTGATCCTATCATCCACACATTCATCAAATATTTATTTACAATGATTTCCAGACTTTAAAAAAGACATTGGATTCAATGTTGAACAAGACAACATGGTTCCTCCACTAGTTGAATTTTTAATACAATCAATGTAGCAACAAATTTAATTAATTTATCTCACTAAAAACAGTTTGATTGATAATAACTGAAGTTATTGTAAATTCCCATATTAAGATTAGAAAAAAAAAAGCATTAAAAAATCCTTATAATCTCCTTTCCTTGAAGTTAGCCATCATTATAATTTCTGAATATTTGTTTCAGACTTTCATCTATGATTTTATAGAGATATAGTCTTTTCTTCAAATAAAAGTGGACCATATGTCTGGCTGGTGTGGCTCAGTGGTTGAGCATCGACCCATGCACCAAGAGGTCACCAGGTCAATTCCTGGTCAGGGCACATGCCCAGGTTGTGGGCCAGATCCCCAGAGGGGGGCATGCAGGAGGTGGCCAATCGATGTTCTCTTTCATCAATATTTCTATCTCCCTCTCCCTTCATCTCTCTCTGAAATCAATAAAGGAAAAAATTTTTTTAAAAGTGGACCATATTAAATACAGTTTATATACATATGCATTCTTAATGAAAATATTGTTATTAAATATTTGTTGAGAACATATTTTTTTATTACTTATTTTCTTTTTTTAATAAGTTTTTTTCCCCTTTTTCGATTTTAGAGAGAAAGGGAGAGGGAGAGAGAGAGAGAAACATCAATGAGAGAGAACAATGAATGGCCATCTCCTGCATGCCCCCCACTGGGGATCCAGCCCACAACCTGGGCATGTGCCCTGACTGGAATCCAACCAGCGACCTCTTGGTGCATGGGTCAATGCTCAACCACTGAGCCACACCAGCCAGGCTTATTACTTATTTTCAATACCCCAGCTACTTGTTTCAAATACTTCCAAATATAAATAAAGCTGGGGTACTATTTGCATAGGCAGCTAAGAGTTAACAAAACAGAAGGGAGCTAGACTGGTAGAGCCTCATTAAGTCTGGAAGTTACAGCTTCAGACACCCTAAAGGAAAGCCACATCCACCACCAAAGGGGACTTAATCCTCAGATGATCAGCTTTTCAATCTCTTGGGGGGACATTGGGTCATTAGGAGAAATAATGAAAATTCCTTTGCTAGGCATTTGTGCGGTAGGAGCCAAGATGACAACCATAATAAAGGAGAGGAATGTAGACTGGGAAAAGGATTGGATAGGGAGAGGGCCCAGAACAGGCTCACCAAGAACTAGGGAAGAGATTGGTTTGAAAGGAAGCTTATCCCTTCCCAAGCCCTGGGTAATATAATCAAAGCTTACCAAAGCCCTGTTTTGGTAGCAAGCACTGGTTCACCTGTTAGTTTGCAGACTCTTCCTCCATAGCAGCCCTGT